CCATAGTTGCTGGGGTTATTATATAATTTGCTCACGGAAGCACGCACAAGTGTCAGTCAGATTTCGACAGTTGCACGAGCAACATTCGACCGAGCTCGAGAGTTGTACGAGCAACATTAGGATAAAGGATTACGTTTCAAACGTGTACTGACGCAAGCCATTTCACTAACGTTCATTGTCCCGTAATCCACATGTAGTAACAACTGATTGAATCCGGCAGAGGACTACTGCAAATTATTACACACGTCAATCGTATGCCACCGGTAATCAAAATTTCGGCGACAAACTTATGAAACGCTTTATGAAGCTTTGAAGACGGTACGGAAGTAGTAATATCTAAGCCTAGTTTTTCTGAATTTATATAAATATCATTAGAAGTATATTGTAAGTTCATGTATGTAAGTAGTACTTCAGCTTAGTTGTTAAATATATAGAAATACTATTGTAAATTGTATATTTTCGTACGATATTTTCAATAAAAACAGTCAAATCATGCAATTATGTCAAATATGCATTATTCATTAATCCCAGTACTATCTCCACTCCTATTCCTAATGTCAATTAACCAAAAAAGGAATAATCAATAATAAATAATAAGAAAATAATTAATTCTGTAACGTCTGTGGGGTCATATGGCCCCAACGTTTCCGCCATCTTGGATTTTAAAAAAAGCGCGGGAAAAATTGGGATTTATGGGACATACTAGTGGCGCCACCAAAAAAGTGGGTGGCGAAAGTTGGAACTAAATCCAGAACTTCTTCGATAGTTCGTACAGTCGCCACTAGATGGCGCTGCTTAAAAAGTTTCAGAATTAGTTCCAACTTTCGCCACCCACCTTTTGAGGGGGCGCCACCGTACTGCAGGTTTTTCCGCCATCTTGGATTTTGAAAAAGCGCGGGAAAAATTGGGATTCATGGGACATACTAGTGGCGCCGCCAAAAAACTGGGTGGCGAAAGTTGGAACTAAATCCAGAACTTTTTCGATAGTTCGCACAGTCGCCACCAGGTGGCGCTGCTTAAAAAGTTTTAGAATTAGTTCCAACTTTCGCCACCCAGTTTTTTGGCGGCGCCACTAGTATGTCCCATAAATCCCCATTTTTCCCGCGCTTTTTCAAAATCCAAGATGGCGGAAAAACCTGCTGTACGGTGGCGCCCCCTCAAAGATGGGTGGCGAAAGTTGGAACTAATTCTGAAACTTTTAAAGCAGCGCCATCTGGTGGCGACTGTGCGAACTACCGAAAAAGTTCTGGATTTAGTTCCAACTTTCGCCACCCACTTTTTTGGTGGCGCCACTAGTATGTCCCATAAATCCCAATTTTTCCCGCGCTTTTTTCAAAATCCAAGATGGCAGAAACGTTGGGGCCATATGACCCCACAGACGTTTCAGAATTAATTATTTTGTTATTATTTATTATTTCTTATTACTTTTTTGGTTAATTGACAACAGGAATAGGAGTGGAGATAGTGCCGGGATTAACGAATAACGCATATGCATGGTTTGATTGTTTTTTATTGAAAAAATCGTACGAAAATATACAATTTACAATAGTATTTCTATAAATTTAACAACAATTGTCTCTAGTACTACTGACATACATGATTTTACAATATATTTATAATCTTTGTATAGATACAATAAAAGTGCCCTAAGCTATTTATTTTCTTGAATCCTACTTATCTATATGATTTTACAATATGCTTGTAATGATAATTATATAAATTGTTGTTACTACATGTGGATTACGGGACAATGAACGGTAATGAATTGGCTTGCGTCAGTACACGTTTGAAAGTGATCCTTTATCGCTGTTGCTCGTACAACTCTCGAGCTCGGTTGAATGTTGCTCGTGCAACTGTCGACATCTGACTGACAGTTGTGCGTGGATCCGTGAGCAAACTATATAGTAACCCCAGCAACCATGGCAGTTTCTGCAGATACTACTAGAGCCCAAGTTTAAAAGACGTAGGCAGTAGTTAGTTTCCGTAGTAAGCCAAAGACCCCGTGTGATGAGAACGTTGGGTCACAGAACCCCCGGTGGAGGCGCCAGGTACCCCGTGTATGTAGAAGTGGGGTCATAGAACCCCCGGCCAAGCGCAAGAGTTTTGAAAGTCTTTTCTGTCGCTCGTCTGTGATATAACTGGCGCTACAGGTGAACATAATTGGAACTGCGTTAGCTGTCGGGTTTTTCTGATCGAGTCTGCGATGCGCGGGCTATGTCTGTCAAACGTAAGTTGCATTGACAGAATTAATCACAGAATTCTTTATGTAATCGTAAACGAACGAAGTTGGTGTACTGAATTATTGTTTGTATGTAAACAGTACTAAGATTGACCAGTTTTCCGAGTTGTAAATATGTTACTTGTAATATTTCTGGGCGTGGTAGAATGCAGTGTAAACAGTCTCTATTTACACAGCCATTATGTTGTATTAAATACTTGAAAGTAACTATTTCTGTTTGTCTGGCTGTGAGGATCGGATGATCGGAATCTAAAAGTTTATCACTTGTAATGGATTTTGTACACGTACAATATTTCTGATTTTGAGGTTAAATATCTTAAATGACAGTCGTACTGGAAAATACTTCTTGGTGTAGTGATTTAAACAGTTTTCGATTTCCTATTTTATAAAGACTTCAATTGTTGCAGATGTAGTGATTAGTACAATATAAAATTATGTCATTCCATTGAATGCAAGTAAACGAGAATCTAATAGTACTGCAAGCATGGAGAAGAGAGGCAGCGCAGAACTGTTGAATGTAGAACAAAATAATTCTAAAAATGCCAGCTCGGATTCTCTTAACTCAGACAGCAAGAGCAGTTCGCTCAATTCCAAAATGGGCCAAGAATCGGTAACAAAAACTCATCTATTCAAACTAGGTTTCTTTTTAACACTTCTTGTGCATATCTAACTGTATGCAAGCATTCAACTTCTTTAGGAAAGCTGGGAAAAAGCATCTCATTCCAAAAGTTTTTCCTCAAGCTCTGCATCAACAGATAACAATATTGTCTCTGCTTTAGAAGCTAGAAAAGAGAATCAAGTAAAAGTGAGTTTCTCTCAGATGCATAGAATTGAGATCAATTTTATTTCTTTGAACACTTCTGTATCACCAGAGTTTATGTTTACAGAGAATATTTATGATTTTCATTTCGTTGTTTCGATATGTTTTATCTTTCTAATGGGAATTTCTGTGTTGTCACTTTTACTTTTGCACACAATTATGCAATTGGATTACCTAATAGATTAGAGTGATCAACGATTGTTTGATTTTAAAATTTTATTATCAAACCATCAACGTACATATCATTCATTGCAGAATCTGTCCAGCGGAGAAACGGGACCGCCGCTTTTAAACGGAGAACGGATGCAGGGTATTGCTCACGAGGTAACTTATCTATGCCCGTACTCCGGACCAGCCAGAGGAATTCTTAGCGTTACCAATTACAAGCTTCATTTTCGGAGCGTCGATCGCGAAACACCGTACGTGGTGGAAGTACCTCTAGGTGTAGTGAGCAGAATCGAAAAAGTTGGTGGTGCGTCTAGCAGGAGAGAAAATTCTTATGGAATTGAAGTGTTCTGTAAAGACATGCGGAATCTCAGATTCGCCCATAAACAGGAGAATCATTCCAGACGGGACATTTTCGAGAAGCTCCAACAGTATTCATTCCCATTGTCTCACAAGTTACCACTCTTTGCGTTTGAATACTCCGAAACGTTTCCTGAGAATGGTTGGAATGTCTATGAGCCCATAGCTGAGTTAAAAAGAATGGTAAGGAATGTTAGAGAACAAACATGTAGGAGAAAGCATTCACAAATTTAATAATCAGTTAAAACTATGGTCCATTTCTAGGGGGTAAACAACGATATGTGGAAAATATCGAAGATCAACGACACATATTCGGTATGCGATAGTTATCCAGCGGTATGGGCAGTACCTGCAGCAGCAACCGACGAGGATCTGCAAGCGTCCGCCGCTTTCAGAAGCAGGGGTAGACTTCCAGTGCTTTCGTGGATCCACCCGGAAAGTCAAGCAACGATCACTCGTTGCGCCCAACCGTTAGTGGGTGTCGGTGGTAAACGAAGTCGCGAGGACGAAAGATACGTTCAACTTATTATGGACGCGAACGCGCAGAGTCACAAATTATTCATTATGGATGCCCGACCGATGCCTAACGCGGTGGCGAATAAAGCGAAAGGTGGTGGTTACGAGAGCGAAGACGCTTACCAGAATGCAGAGCTAGTATTTCTAGATATTCCTAATATACACGTGATGCGGGAAAGTCTTAGAAAATTGAAAGGTATGCAGCTTGTTATAGATCTGTTGCATTAACGGCTTGAGTCGTAAATGACTTTCGGTACAGGTAGCGAAAGATTTATAAAACGATTTATCAGTGTTTTAACGAAACGTATCAGGCAATCATGACTACCATTTAATATCAATTACCTTTCAGAATTATGCTTCCCGACAATCGATGAAGCCAGGTGGTTGTCAGAAATAGAATCTACTGTCTGGCTAAAACACATCAAATACGTGCTCGCAGGCGCGCTCAAAATAGTTGATAAAGTCGAGAATCACAAAACGTCGGTGCTGGTGCACTGTTCGGACGGTTGGGATCGAACGGCACAGGTAACTACGACACACTCGAATGTACTTTAGATGAAAACAAAAATGTACCTTTCAATACTTGTAACTGTTTGCAGCTCACGGCTCTTGCCATGTTAATGTTAGATCCGTATTACAGAACTATCAAAGGTTTTGAGGTTCTTATTGAGAAGGAATGGCTCAGTTTCGGTCACAAATTTCAACAGGTGCGGGAAAAAATATCGTATTCATTTAAATAATTTTATTTCACCTCGGGACGTTATAATCATAAGGATGTTTCTCCAGAGAATCGGTCATGGCGATGAACACCACAGCGACGCGGATAGATCTCCGGTATTTCTGCAGTTCATGGACTGCGTGCGGCAGATCAGTCGCCAATTTCCGAACGCATTCGAATTTAATGAACACTTTCTCATCACTATACTCGATCATCTGTACTCTTGCAGATTTGGCACATTTTTATGCAGCAGGTATTATATCGGATGTATTTCGATATATAAAATCGTTTATACGTTTTCCTTGGTACTAATCCTGGTCATCGCTTTATTTCTACAGCGAACGTGAAAGAGTACAGGATCAAGTGAAACAAAAAACTGTCTCGTTGTGGTCGTACACCAACAGTCAATTATCTCTGTACCAGAATCCTCTGTATTGGGCAGCTCCCAATTATCAGCCCGTCTTGATGCCGATCGCTAGCATGAGGTATATGAAGCCATGGAAAAGTCTGTATTGCAGATGGAATCCTAGCATGCGACAGCAGGTTCGTGGAAACCATTGATATTTTTGTAACGATCGACTGAGTCAAATTTTCCTACTAGAATCTAACGTATTTCCTTTCTTAATTTTCATCCGTGTCCATTGTCTTTTAGGATCCCGTTTACCAACGAACGAGGGAACTTCTAGTCTTAAAGGAACAACTTGAAAAACAGCTCGATGAGGGTCGACGCGAACAGGCCTCCCGTGCTAATCGGTCCCTGGCGTCGCAGGCACCGCCCAAGATACATTCCCCGGCACACTCATAACACGCTCACAATTCACCCGTCCTCTAACGATCTGTAGTTATTGTAAATGTACTCCTCCATGCTTCGTTTCCGTGCTCGAGCCAGCGTGCAACATTGACTAAACTCACAATCGCTATGTACAAAACGCTCATTGATAAAAAAAAAGAAAGAAAGGAAAAAAAAATGGAAAACGTTTATGACTATTGTACGATTGACTCTATGGACTTATCCTTCTCATGCGTCGTATGAAATATAGGAGATTTACGCTTGACTTCTGAACAAAATCGATCGCGTTGATCACGGAAAAATCGTCTCGGCGGTTGATACAGTTCACGTGTATCGTTTGCAAATCTTGTATCCGGCCAGTTAATCAATGTCGTAGGAATCTATACGTGTACGGTACTCATTTCATCCTTCTATTAGTATTAAAGTACAACCGCAGTAACAGTATAGCCGGCGCTTCCGCCATCACCGAAAGCACAAGACTAGAGGCGTAAGTCATTGCATGCACTCCTAAAGCCAAGACAGTCTAAGGGAAAGAATAAAAGTGTTAAAACCGAATTGTTCCGACGATGATCGTTTTTTTTTTTCAGCAAAATCGAGATACCAACTGGCGAACTTACCGTGTTTAGGAAGTCAACGTAAACCGGGTAATTACCGTACATGAAAATCGAGGTCAGAATAAAAGGATTCAGGAGGTAAGCACAGAACGTTAGCCTGCCCATTGGTATCCAGGCTCGAAGCGACAAGAATTTATTCACGATACCTGAAAGAACGGAAGGAACATTATTGAACGTTAAAAATAAATCTTCGATAGTCTTCTTTTTTCGGGACATAAAATTGAATTACCCCCGTTGTTCGTGGTACACGCAATTATCAGCCACGCTATTCCAAAAGCCCAGAATGTTCTGCTTAGGGAAACGTAAAGAACACTCATAGCCAGAGGTATGTTTTTGTCTACTATTCCGAAAAGGATCGAGCAGTTGCATAATACACCAAAGGTCCAACCGGCGATTCGGGCTTTCTGAAATGTAGGTATTACATTACAATAATATCGATAGAAAAACAGCAGATTATAAGTCATTTAGCACGCATCGGTTCAATGCGATGAATGCTTTAAACCAGAGCTGTCTGCATCGATTGCTCACAAGCAGCAACGTTACCCCCATTTACAGTCGTCAGATTGACTCGTTTGAGTGTTCCTACCAATAATCTTCCCGCCATGACTCCAACAAGTCAATCTGAGAACGATTAAGTGAGGGTAACCCGAGAAGGTGAAGTTCGAGCTACAGGTCCTCCTGAGCAATCAGTTGCGCAGCTCTGTAATTTAAACTACATATTCCTTACCGTCGATAGATTCAATTTATATTTCCATTTTTCAAGAAGGATCGCCGTAAGGATCCCGACTATGAATGGTCCGATCCTCATCCACGGTCGTATGTAGATAACCGTCAGGGTTTTGTACAACTGGTCGAGCCTGAGAGAGATCCGCGTGTTTAGTATTGCGAGAAAATCAAGATGTCAAAATCGGGTGGGACACCCTGTATACATTTCGCAAACGAACATATGGGATACACTTACGTAGGAACGTATTCGAGAACGTACACCTTATAACCGATTATTATACAAGACGAGAGCATCGTGACAGCGGTCACGCCCGCGGCGATGAAAAAGTGCCTGAAATTGTTGACCGAAGGTAGACAATGTTCGAGCGGTTAAAAATGCCGTAATACGTAATCAATAATACAAACTGCACACACTCACGTGGAAAACAGCACCAACAAAATCGTGCCGAACATGAAGAACTGCATGTCATTGGCTATGTACCAACTCCACGAGAAACACTGAAACAAACATATCACCCGAATGATTCGGTTTTACCGGGATAGACGGTCGGAGGATTCGAATTATAAATTGCGCCATACCAGTTCGTTCCAGTCGTAGAAGTTGTTGATGTAGAGCAAATTCCTCCACCAATACTTCGTGCAGTAATTGACCGGTTCCTCGATGAAGTGGAACGTCGAGACTTTGTCGTAAGAGGTGAAGTTCAATATCGTGAATATTATCACGATCGCGTACGCGGGTGTAAGCCTTAATATGCATTCGTTAAAAGACGAATCAAACGTGGGGATAAGATCAACGCGATGGGAAATAAACACGTTACCTGATGAATCGTTTCAGGGACTGCAACAAGAAGATTTTCGTGAAATTCCGAAAGGTAAAGTTTGGCTTCTCTTTCCTTATCGATTTCAGGTACACCATGCCCAGTAGGAATCCGCTCACACAGAAGAACGTGTCCACGGAGTACGTCGCGTTGGTCAGTACTTGCATCCAGGCTGCGTTCGTCATCATAACAGCTGTCGTTCTATCCCCTGAATACGAGAAATTTGTTAATCGTAAAACACTAAATTCGGCAATCTCTTTTTATATTTTCCTTTTTTTTTTTTTTTTTTTTTTTTTTTAAAAAGCGCTCCCGTAGTAAATGGTGTGCGCTGCTATGATCCACGTCATTCCGAAGAATTTCACGCCGTGCAACATCGCTATATTATCCGTTCCAGACTCTATGTTGAATATTTGCTTCAGATTCGAGTAGCCGGAGAAACATATCAGGAATTTCCCTATGGTACTCTGCGGCCGGAGATCCCTAATGGAAACGTTCTCGGGATCGGGCTCGCGTTTCGCCTCCGCATCGTTGTTTTTCAATTCTGTACGAAAATTAATGTCGTTCCAATTACCAAGTAAATACATTCGACGGTCGTTGGCTATACGGTGCTCGGAAAGAAAAATCGATGGATCGTGTTCGTATACTCGAAGAAATCGAAGAGTTCCGATGGGTTCGTGATAATGTTACTTGGCCGTTCAAGGTCACTCCCCACCATGAACCTCCAATTATTCCCCGAGCAGTATATACAAATCGAGGCTATCGACTCACCGGATGTGTTGTTGTTCTCGAAAGCAAGGAAATCCCGTTTTCGTTTCAAACGTTTTTGGTAGACGAACAAATCGTACACCGTGCCGGCAACAGTCATGCCAGCCACCAGCAGTAACGCGAGTCTGCGGGAGCAAAAAATTTCAGCATGTCAATAGTTTCACAGAGATCGGTTACGCAAGAGGAAAACACTTTTTGCATTTCCGCGTGGGACAACCAAGAGGGGCAAGGGAGGGGTGGATCAATTCGTTTCAATAACAAATTATTACAAGCACTACAACAAAAACTTTCGACGACGTGTCGCGTGATAGATATATATATATATATATAACATTCACGGATGGAAATTAGGGAAACGTTTAACACGGACATCTGACGTTCGAGCCCAAGTTCAAAAGAAGTATGGAACCGTTTGTTATATGTATGGTAGACCGGGAGTCGGACTTCGTGCCATTCTGCCGTGAAAATTGCACCGATTACCCTTCGTTACGTACATCATCACGACATGCTTGCCGTCAAGGAGCCACCGATGGTCGTCTCTCAAATCTTTGACCTCGTCCAACTTAAAGTCCGCGGCATAGAGTTTCCCAACTAGGAGTGTTCTATCATGGAAGATCTTCTCTACTACTACGGCTATCTCGTCCGTGGTGCAGGTCGCCGGCAAGCAGAGTCCAAGTACCATTTGATTCTAAAACATCGCGTTTCTTAATGAGTCCCGAGGATATCTTAGACCCGGCAATAGAATTCCGGCGGAATCCCGCGCGTTATATGTAATGTATGTGTGTATGCGACGATCCTTTTCGTTCGTCGATGGACGAGCGACATCTGGGTTGTTCACGATCTACCCGACACCAACGAAAATTGGCCGGTAAGGTCCCACGAATTTTCACGTACGTATATGTAGTTCGACAGAGATCGTCGATCGACGTGGATACACCAAGAAAAGTGTTGGTGACTGTTCTCTCGAACCGCGCACGCTTACCTCTTCCTGCAGTCCCAGGTGGTACTGCATGGTGCTGTTATGATGAAACTGGGCGACGTAGTATCGTATAGGAAAGGGTGGAAATTCGTGTTCCGTGTCGCGGTAGAGCGAGTTGTTTCTCTCCTCTTGGGCCGACACCGGTAGCTTTCTCTTCTCGTTCAAGTACTGGCACCCCAAACGACTTCCCACCCAATAGTTGCCCTGTTGAACGAAGTGGCTCGTCGGCATCCCGCTCATGTCCAAAACTTCGAAAATAAACGTTCATCGTGAACAATCGATGGGATCCGCAGCGTTCGGAAAACGGGATTTTGTTTGATACGATCGAAACCGAAACGGAAGGGAAACAAACGAAATAGAAGGGAGGTAAACGAAACGGAAGGGAACAGTTCGAATCGAAAATAAATCGGCGCCGATTGACGGCGGTAGACGCACACCGCGGTGTTCTCTGTCGCTTTTCCGTGCTCTTGCTGAAACTAGTTTCTTGTATAACACGAAGAAAGTCGACGCGCGACGTCAGGGGAGTGTTGCGCCGGCACCACGAACAAAATCCCCCGGTCTGACACAATTATTCTCGCCGCTTAATCGCGTCTAATCGTGCCCGATAGAGAGAGAGATTCGCGGTTGCACAAGCGCGCCATCCGAATGGGCCCTGGAAGAGAGCCTGTTCGCGAGCCGAATTACCCGGCATCGGTACAACGTTTTTCAATGTATTATGTACACGCGGAACGGAAACGAGCCCTGTTACGAAACAAGCGTTTGCAGATCCGCGGTTACGTTTCGATCGTATATAAGAATTTGCTTCGTCCCGTTTCCATAAGTGTCTCCATTTTTCCACCGTTCTAATTTTCCGTTTACGGGTGTCGGCGGAAGAAAGAAGAAAAAAAAAAAAAAAAAAAAAAAAAAAAGGAGCCGGATTCTGTCACCGCGTACTAACTTTTCAAGGCCCACAGTACACCACGGTCAATGGCGTCTCGTAACTGCTCCATCTCGATACGACACTCCGTCGAATTCAGTAGATCGGTTTTGGTGAGCACCGTGTAACCCGGCATCGTCTCGATCATCGCCTCGCGGTTCGACTTGTCCCGTACGAGCCCGTGCACCGTCGTCGTCACGCAAATCGCGACCAACAACCAAACATTCGTGTACCTCGTCATCGTTTCGTGAGGTATATCGGTTGATATCACTGGCTAAATTTCACTGATCCCGTAACCACGGATTACGAACAACCAACCGCGTGCAAAACGAGGAGGCAACGACGACGGATTGCCCGATTCCGATTCGATCCCGAGGAGATCGAGTTCGCGGTACCCGCGGATCAACGAGCACTGCCCCCGGTCTACGATTCTTCGTACGGGGATGAAAAATCGAAATCCGTTTCGCTGGGTCCGTTGGATTTGCGCGGAAACGACTGGCTGGTCTGGGTCCCAGCGATGCGACGATCACCAGACGCGATCCCGACGAGACAGAGCGTATCCGCGGAGGGACACACGATTTATTTGTATGAGAGGTACCGGGCGACCAAGGAGATACGACGACCGGGAAAGGACTGCCCGTGCAGGAGAAGTAATCACAGAATCCAAATGGAAAGCAACCGGAGCCCCGTCCTCGTGTGGCCTGCGTCGTCATCGTCGTCATCGTCGTCATCGTATCGTTGTCGTCGTCCTGCTTTGATGTCACACCGCTTCGACAAACCCCCACCACCTCGACACACGGTTTTAGTCGAGCAGAGATTATTATTCCCGCGCCGGTCTGCCGAGATGATTGGTCATTATTTGGAATACATCTCTCTCTTCCTTTTCCTCTCTTTCTCTCTCGTTGTTTTACGCAACGTATTCGCGTGGACCCGTGGGTCCGTTGTCATCGTGTGTGTGTGTGTGTGTGTGTGTGTTCGAAAAAACGCATCGTTGACATAAGCGTGTCCAGTGTCTGTCTCTGTCGCGGGGGGGTCGAGTGACATTGCGTGTTGACAACTTCGCGTTCGATCTTCCGCTTGATAAACCCTTTAACCCTCTCCTATCGCGATATTATGCATGTCGCACCGATAGATCGGCCGATAGATACGACCGAACAAGACCAAAGGTCTGTCTTCGGTTGTGTATACCGATTAATAATTGCATTTTTTCTGTAATCGCCGACGAATACTACGGAATCTGAACTTTAATACCGAGTCGTGTACATATATTACCGTTTAATGATTGCGTTTAGTTTGTCAGGATACATTTTGATTTACCGCTGATCCCTTTGATTTACGATTGCATATCGCAGTAAATCGATAAACGATCGAGAGCCTCTGCGTGCCTGTAAATCACCGAACAACCGAGGTGACGGAAAAGAAACGGGCGAGAATGATACTCGATGCAACAGCAAGGATATCCTTACTCGAACGCCTCCAGGACGATGCGATTTCTTCGGTAAACCGAGGCGACTCGCGACTAGAACTCGACGTTTTCGACGTCTGAACGGAAACTGTTATCCATACTTCCCGTGAAATGCTAATCGAAACTACGCTTGGATTTCGATTAAGGTATACATGTAGAACAGGGGTGGGAAAGTTCTTTGATCGTTAAAGCCATAGATATAATAATTTTCATAAACTTTTCTGTTCCAAGAGCCACACAAATAGTATACCACGATAGATTATTCGTATAAAATTGTAGGAAAAGTGGCAGTGCAACCCAATATTATCGCAGGACGCGCAGGCTTGCCCATCGTTGGTATTGGCCCTACACTATAAGGGATTCTTCGACCCTTTAGCCGTATACTGTGTTCACCGCCACGGAACTGTACATATACGGTACGCTATTTCGAGCTAACGGCCGAAGCCATTGCCGAATGTTCTTTCCTTGATTCCATGCTTAATGTATTCGATGGAATTTAAGAGGAAACTACCGGTTCATTAGCGTCATTCACCAGAACGTGTATACCATTGGAAATTAACGGGTTTTCGGCGTCCTAAAAGTCCGAAAATCCGATATCCACGTTTCGCGTCGGATCCCCGGAGTCTGAACGTCGTCTAGGCCCGTCGCCACTCAGCAATTATAATCCAGTGTTTTCGCTCGTAATCCCGGTGTATTCGATTCCTCGGGTAACACGATTATGCACACTGTATTACGGCGACGATTACGTGTCGGCCAGAAGTTTCGTGGAGCCGGGAACGCGGTTACCGCAAGCCGGAGAACGCGAGAAAAACTTTACCTAATCCCGCCGATAAAATATAGAATGCTAATTGCCGGCCGCGGTGCCGAGAACGTGAAATTGTCCAGGAACAGAGAGAGAAGCATTAAACGTTCCGCGGGTAGCGCGTGAATACGCGAGTTCCCGAGTGAAAGTTTTCGAAGAAAGGAGTAGGAGGACGAACAACCGAACAAGGACGGACGAGTAAGCTGTAGTAAGTTGGTCCATAGATTTTTTTTTTAATCACGATTAACTCGCCTATCGATCATCCGTATCATCGTGGTGTACAGACGCGACGGCTCGGTCTCCTCCCAGGTGAAAACGAGAGCGACAATGTTTGGCAATCCTTTGCATAATGCTCGGTTTAGAACGACGACACGTGGCGTTAGAAAACCAGTCCCTGGACCAGACCGAGGTCTCGTTACCACGGGGCCCCATTGTGTTTGATCATGATTTCGTCACAGCCGAATGCACCCATCGGAAGAAAAGGCCCGTAGTGGGTCTCGTCGACGAGACACCTCGATATCACTCGACTGCTGCTGGGTGGGAGAAACGGCCGAACGGTTTCGAGGAAATTACAAATTTCCACGCGACGAAAACGTGGACACTGAATATTCCTCAGTCAGATTCTCTCGTTTCCGGGGACCTTCGACTAGTGATGGGATTTGGAACGCTTGGAATCGCTTCGAATCTGATTCGAAGCTAGAAAAGTATTGAAATTCTTGAACTGATTCGAGTCTTGAGCGTTTGGTAATTTGTAAGTCTTGTAAGTGTTGAGATGTTTTTATAGATTATATTAATATTTAATATCATACAGGCACAGGCTTTTTCATTACTTTTGTTCAAGCAGTATCATTGACATAAGATATTAAAGAATATCCGTACATTTTGAATTATCATAAATACATTTATTGTTCTAATTATTTATTTATTTACTTTTTGTGGGAAATTTTATTTTTTTTTTTTTTTATTTAATTAATTGTTTACTCGAATTCAAGACAGTTTCGATGCGATTCGAAGCGTTCCAAATCCCATCAGTACCTTCGACGTCCACGACAGAGGTCTCGAGGCGAATACTCGTTAGTAGTGTCGGTTCACGAAGAATCGACGAAGGTGACTTATCGTCGTTTACGAGCATCGAAAGATTAAAGATGCCTAAATGGCTGTCCATCGAAGACGAGATGCCATAGTACAGAGTCACGGCAGTGACACGATCGTCCGCTGGTTCCGCGACTTTTTTCTTTTCTTTTTTTTTTTTGCCCGTTCGAGAAACATGGTGGGATCTGAATTATTCCGGTCGGGAAAAATAAGCGCCTCGCGTCGTCTACGTAAATCTTCTTAATAAGCTCTGCTCTGTTACGTCATACGATATTCATAGATGACGGGGCAAGTTCGATTTCTCGGCCGCGAAATATATACGCCGAGGACGAGCGTACGTATTACGTTTACTCGGCCCCGGAGAGAAGTTCGTTCCTCGAGGAAACGATCGTTCGAACGAGGAATCCGGGTATTCTGGGTCGATTTGTCTTGTTCGTGTGTGACAGGTCGATGCATAATGATACACGAAAAAAAGCAGTAATCTTTAATCGGTTCACGGGGTTTGGTATCGCCCGCGGTGGGTTTTGTATATTCGCGCGCGTTTTCAGTCCTTCCCGCTGAATGAACACGAATTCCGGCGATCTACAATATCGTTTACGGGTATCCTAACACAGTACATTATCGATATTTAAATCTTACTATTTTTCAAGGAATAAGAAAATATGTATCGTGTTTACTATTATTTGCTGAATAGCTTTTCTCGATCAATTTTACGACCGTATCAAATTCGTCTCTCGATACTTCATTCGATACTCGAGTATGCCGTCGCCTTACACGGTTAAGTTCAAACACTGCTACAGTAGTGTCTCGATGAGTGCGACGTACTCGGGCCCACTTCGGAGCATTCGTGGAGCACGAAAAGACGACGAAACCCGAGGGACGTGTGATCGCTAGGCAAAAATGCAAATTAAATGGTATACGTGATTCCACTCATAACGTGCGCGTCTATAACCACTTTTTACCCCGCGGTTCTGCGTAAACTCGCGAGGAAATGAGAGACAGAAGAAAAGAAAAAAGAAAACAGTGCGTTACGAAGCAATGAAAAAGTCCGTCGCGTCGACGCGAAGGGAAAAGAATTTTGATCCGGACCAACAACCTAGACGAAGCTTGCATTCTACCGATACAGCAAAACGTGTCGCGACGAAAGAGTCCTTTTCTTTTTTTTTTATTGCTTTTTGGACGTTATGACGTCTTCGTGTTTTTTTTTTTCATCCGGTGTTCAACGCCTGACTTTTATCGTCGGCGTTCTTGGTGGTAAAATCGTAGAAAAAGTCGAAAAAACCAGAACGGTTCGGGTTAAGATCGTTGATGACGATCGCCCTGGACCCCGCCGTGTTGGTTTCCACGAAATGCACAAAGGAGCAACACGGTCAAAACTGATTGTATTCTGGTCGCCGAAGATCGCGAGCAAGCAAAGGTTCCCCTCGGTTCGTTGATGGAAAAATTGACGGTTGGTAAAAAAAAAACGTTTTTTTTCTTCTATTTAGTTAACCCTTTGCACTTGACTGTCGCCTCTGAAGCGACAAATGAATACATACACATGATATTCTATGAGGCTAATGCAATGGCCGTCACCAGGAGGGCAAACATGACCGTTTGATGCCATATGACGTACGACAGATCGTGACTATAGATGTACTGTGACGTCACATGGCATTTACTTCGAAGCCTTCGCCCGGCAACCCTTTTCGCAAGCTTGTATGGCCCTACTACGGGGTGGTGGGGTCTCCCCAGTGACAAATCCGCTTTATCCTTGTCTCAGGCAGAGATGGGCAAACTAATTATCTAGATAAAATATTTCGAATAAAGAATAAAAGATAAAAAAAAAGTATTTCGTCATTTTTAATTGTTTAAACGTGGAAATTTCAATTTTTATAATAAAATAATACTTCTTTATGAA